TACCGTTGGGCTAGAAGTCATTTGCTATGTGGTACAATCATTAATAAGATGTTCTCATATATGGCTCGTCATTCACTTATGTCAATAACATAATTCATGAACCGTCAAATAATATTGGTGCCTAGTGTTCTCCGAGTAGAAGATGTCTTCGACTTCGGTTTCATCTATCTTCATAGCAGACAACGAGATTCTTTGTGATTGTTTCTTCCCAACTCGAATTTTCACTTCCAAGACAAAAGAACACACTGACACAAAGTTTAAAGTCTTCCCCAATTCCCTAGTATGTCGATTTTGACCATTTTTCTACAAATGGGTTTTTTGTTCATTTCAAATTGACATTCTTTCTTACCTATTTAAAAAATGTTTTTTTACTAAAGAAACCCGATAAAAGGTGAAAATTTTGGCAATAGGTTGATATGTCATATTGAACCACATATGACAATCATTAAAAAATTGTTCTCGTACACGGCTCGTGCGAGAACACCTCATTAATGTGTGTATTATCTTCATGTATTCCCGATTTTATACTGTCCCGAACAGTTCCATTACTGTAGCAAATAAAATTAAAACTAAAATCAAGGCGTTCTTGTTGGGATCGTTATACATGGACGCCAAAACAAAATCGGGAATGATATTAGCGTAATTGATGGATTGAAAACATATAATCCAAAGTTTTAGTGATTATCTCCCAAAAGTAAGTTGTGTAATTTGCTTTTGCGTATTAATTTTATACAACCATCAAAAACTTCAAGATTTTCAATTCCATACTTGGATGGTTTTAGAAAAAAACGGGAATAAAGATTATGTTTCATAAACTGTTTCAAATTGCTTAAGAACAATTGGACTCTGATACATGTAGATTATTTTTAGTAATTAATTATCCTATACTCTTGCTTATCAATTTGAACATAGATTCATCATGAATATGAGAGAATAAGATGCGTACTTGAATGATTAAATTCCACATGAATGCTTGAAGAAGAAGATGAAAGCATTTGATTCATGTTATGATGTCATAATTTGATGGAGATTTACACAAGGAGTTGATTGGTGTTCTATGAGATTTCTTCAAGAATTGAAGAGAATCCCGTATTCCTTTTTGTGGGTTGTTATTGACATCTAATGGAAAATCAGTTTGCACCCCCTTTTATAAGAAAGTTACTCGGTTACTTCAATCAAGTAAACTTTATAATATGAGATATCCATTATGTCATATTAGCATAGTTACTATCATAATACATAAATATAATAACTAAAATAATTTTACAAAAATGATCCTAAGGCCACAGTCGAAATATTCCAACATAATAACTTATTTTGCAACAAAAATATATTAAAGACTAAATGTGTACAAACTGAAAACTATATTATCATATCAAGTCATTTTTTTCCGGTTTGACATGATGTAGCTGGTTATAAAGACTAAAATGGTGTTTGTTATTGCTTCTAAAATGACTTTTGGACTTTCAACTTTTTCAATGAGTAAAAAATGTCTAAAAAGATGTTTGGTGAGTATAAAAGTTATTTTTAAAACAATTTTTTGCCAAGAACAAAAAATGATTTTTCAAAAGCCATGAAATCATGTCTTTTTTATGACTTAAAAATCAATGAAATCATGTCTTTTTTCAAAAGCCATGAAATCATGTCTTTTTTATGACTTAAAAATCAATTTTTTGCCAAGAACAAAAATTGATTTTTCAAAAGCCATGAAATCATGTTTTTTTTGTCACTTAAAAACCTTAAAAATAAAGCCAAACATATTTCAAAAACTTCTTTTATAAAAAGTTTTTTTACAAAAAATCCTTTTATAAAAAAGAATTTTAAGTTTAAAGAGTAATCTTAAACACACCCTAAATATATATAAAAAATTAATGTCAAATGTGAATAAAAAAAATCAATGACTAAATATATACAAAATAAAAACTATATTACATTATTAAGTTTTTTTACTTCTAAAGACATTATGATATAATCAGATTAGATACTTTTATTTCGAACGAAACTGTAACCAATGTTAAGTAGATGGACTTGATTGTAATTGAATAATTCTATATATATATATATATATATATATATATATATATATATATATATATATATATATATATATATATATATATATTAAATCCAAAGGGGCTTAGGAATAGTACCTTTTTAGGCTTTAGGTTTTTGCCACAAAAGTTTACTGAATTTGACACTTTTAGTACCTAAAGTCAAAAATTTTACATTTTTGCCTTTTAATTAAGTTTTTGTGTCTTAAGGTTTTTGCCACAAATCTTTAATGACTTTGACACTTTTAGTCCTTGCAGTCAAAGGTTTTACATTTTGGTGTTTTTGCCACAAATCTTTAATGAATTTGACACTTTTCGTCCTTGTAGTCAAAACTTTTACATTTTGACATAAAAAATACAGAAAACTTCCTTTAAAATTTTGTCACCATATTTTCTCAACTTTGACCACTTTAACATTATTGCCACAACATTTTTGGATTTTCTCCACCAATGTCCCTTCTTTTCGTTGTATACTTTTGACATCTAATTTTAGGGGTTGTCGACTTTCTCCCCTATTTATGGTGATTTACAATTTCAGCACATATTTTTTAAAGTTGACCGATTTTTTCTATATTACCCCAAAAGCGGCGTAGCCGCGGGTTCTTTACTAGTATATATTAAATCTAAAGGAAGTTAGCAATAGTAACTTTTATGTCTTTAGGTTTTTGCCACAAATGTTTAGTGAATTTGACACTTTTAGTCCTTAAAGTGAAAACTTTTACAATTTTGTGTTTTGATTAAGTTTTTGTGCTTTTAGGGTTTTGCCACAAATCTTTAGTAACTTTGACACTTTTCGTCCTTGCAGTGAAAAGTTTTATATTTTGACATAAAAAACACAAAAAACCTCCTTTAGAATTTTGCCACCATATTTTCTCAACTTTGGCAACTTTCACATTATTGCCACAACATTTTTGAATTTTCTCCACCAGTGTCCATTCTTTTGGTTGTCGTACACTTTGGACATCTAATTTTAGGGGTTGTCGACTTTCTCTCATATTTGCGGTGATTTACACTTTCATCACGTATTTTTTAAAGTTTGCCGATTTTCCTTATATTACTCCAAAAACGGCGTAGCCCCGAGTTCTTTGCTAGTTATAATTAATCTAAAATTGAAAAGAACAAATCTAGGAACTTTTTGTGTTTTGAACTTTTGATGATTGATGACCCAATCTCGTGACTGTTGGTTTTCATTTATTCAATTAAATTTTGGGTCCACTTCTTAGCTGTTTTTCACCTAAAGTCCTTAAAATTTGTATCCTTTAACTCTTTTTTCTCTTACGCATCACACGTTTGTAACCTATGCATTACATTATGCACATACCCTCCGGCCTCCACCATTGAACCTGCAATGAGTTAAAAGAAAGGGCCGTTATCATGATAAATGGGGTACAATTTATGATGCATAATGTACATATTTGAGTGCTTAATGGGTCCAGCCAAACAATCGAAGTCCAACTTCATTATCATGTATCCTCCCATGCTTGTTTTGCGTATTGGGTTTAAAATAAGAGAAACAACTTCTTTGATTATTTAGAAGATATAATAAACTTCCTAGTGCTTTTATATTTTACAAATAATATATTATTAAAAAGAACATAATTGATATCCATGTTTTTTTATCTCTTTGTATTTATTGGGACAAAGATATTTGTATTTTTCGGAGGAGAATATATGTTTGTTTGTAAAGTAGAGGGCAATGCCCAAAGATATTTTGAAGTATAGTTGGGTGTCCCATTAAATTCAATTATGGTTCTATTTCTTTTTATTTTTCAAGCATAGAAATGTTTTTTCTTCAATTGTATATTTGTCTTCTATAAATTAAAGTCATATGTAATTGCTATAAATGTGAAAATCTTGTGCTTCAGATTTCTATAGTTTCATGTAAAAATATCTAAATATAGTGGACATAAAGCTTTGGCTTAGATTACTTGCACATGCACATGTGAGGAAATTAACTTCCATGGGGATTATTAACTTTATTTTCCATGATTCAAACTTTAATTATGTGATTACAAACAATAATCAAACATAGCATAAAGAAAAAGTCAAATTTGATTCGACTAACATTTAATTTTTTCCTTCTTTGTACCATTGTATAATAATATCTAGAATTGATAATTTGTTATACATAAAAGGTAATCATTAACTTTAACCAATCAATTAATTAGGCTTTAAACAAAAAGTCATATCAATTTCTTTGAACATGAAGCAAGGGCATCTCCAACCCATCCTCAAACTCCATTTCTTCCATCATTCTTCTCCAATCCTATCCCATTTTCACCTCCATTTTTGGAGATATGAATAGTATTTCCCCATATATAAGGGAATACTATTCATATCCCCAAAATAGAGGTGAAGTTTGGTTGCCAATTTTAGTCTCTTTCATTTTTATTTTATACATTTCTAGTTTATTTTATCTACTAATTATAATTTAAATGCAATATTTAATATTTATAATATCATGTTATATACTAATTTATATTAATCAATCATAAATATAGAGTTTAATTACTAGAGGGGTGTATTTGGCAATATATATAAGTTATAAAAATGGAATATTCTAAAAATATACTTTTTAGGGTAAAAAATGGGATAGAAAATGGAGTAGAGTTGGAGATGAAACACTGTTTACTCTATTTATGAGGGAAAAATAGAAATGGGTTGGAGATGGTCTAAGACGACAAGATGTGATGATATTAAACTAAACCCCATGTCTCAATATTTTTTTTTATACTTAAAAAAAATCTAAAAAATCAAAATTATGAACCTAAAAAAAATCTATGAATTAAGGAAAAAAAAAAAAAACCTTAACTTTTTCTCCCATGGTCCCCCAACTCTCATCAATCTCATCCTCCCCCTTCACTTTAGCATTTAACATATCACCATGTGTAAGTACAACATTAAATGCATATAGTACACTGGTAATGCATGCCATTATTCAATAATCAATCAATCTCTCGCATTGGGTCCAGCACATGCCTTCAAAACGGGGCTCCATATCCATTGTACCAAGAACTTTCTGCCTCTTCTACCATTCATATTAAACGTACGACCCGACCCGTCTTTCATCACCTCCCCAATGTACCCGCCTCCACCACCCGACCCGTATAACCCCTCACACAAATCACCGATCTCTGTCGGCGCCGTCGGATCTTCCCCGGCGTACCAAGCATTCACCAACGGATTCGACGACAGCTCCGCCAGCTCGTGCCCGATCACACTGATCATCCCGTCAATTCCGACGTCGCCATTGGGTGGAGCTAATGCACCCGGCCCTCCACCCTGCATATACGCCGGAACGGCAAACGGGTAAGCGCAAACCTCCGGGCATTGTTTGCCGGAGTTCCCCACCCATGCGTAAGGTAAAGTGTAGCCTACTTTCGATGGGAATGTGAAGTAGTGGAACCCACAAACGGCCCGACAGAAATCCTCAACGGTGACGTCGACGGAAGTCAAGACGAGGTAAATCCCGTTCTTGTGATCAACCGGAAACGGAGCTGATCGTACGGATGAAGCAATGACATCTTGGATTGTCAAACGAGTGAGGTGTGTTCCATGAGTGTACTTACGATCAGAATATTCTCCGGCGATGAGGATGGAGCGGGAGATGTTGGCGTTGGTTTGATCGGTGTAGAGTGAAACCGTCTGCCACCAGTCGGAGACCGATGGATGCGGGGCTGCACGGCGGTTGGTGGTGGAGATAGATAGAAGGAAGTCTTTGATCAGCAACATCTGGGTAGGGGCCCACTTTCCATACCATATGAGGTAAATGCTGATCGGAGAAGAAAGAACAGGACCCATATGGTATCGGAGGTTGACAAGCTCCGATGAACCTTCAAATTTTTTGGAAGTGGTGAGGGTTTTAGGTGGAAGCTTTGGGTTGTGAAAGGTGTAACCTTTATCATTTGGATGCTGCTGATTTGTGTTAAGTGTCTGTACAGTTGCAGCAGAAGCCACAATGGCAGATAGTGTGATGAAGAAGAGGAAGAAGCTGAGGGGTAAAAGAGACATTTTGAGTGAGGATATTATGGACTATGGAGTGGGGATACAACGAAGGAATGGAGATAGAGAGGTATATAAAGAGTGAAGAGTGAAGAGTGAAGAGTGAAATGGGCTGGTGACAGCTTTCAATAATGTTGTGGCCAATCTCTTTTCTTTTTCAGAATCATATGAATACAATAGAACCAGTCTCTTTAAATTGCGTTATTTATGCTAAAAAGTGATTCTGTAAAATTATCTACTTTATAAACTTTTATAAATACGAATATTAAAATCTTCTTATATGTTTTCTATAAAAAGATTTTATGCAATATTATTCTCATCCCTAACTCATTGGTATCTTCACCTTGTACTTGAAGATAAATAACATAACATGCTTCCATAAATTTCATTTATACCAGTCAAGAATTGTACATATTGTACATGATGAATTACATGGTTATGATCATGTGTGTTGTTCGGCTATGGAAGGTTTAATGATGGTCTTTCGGAAAAGGGGATGTTAGATATGTCATATATGAGAGGAAAGCATGTGCATGAGTGTTGGTGTTGGTGTATCATGTATGCTATATGATATTTTCGTACTTCATTTGGCCCGAGCCATGTCGGTTTACATGAAAGATGTGTAAAAAAAAAAAATTGCTAGAGAACAAAAGAACTTTAAGGTTATGCTTAAAAACAGATTATCACTCCGCTACTTCCTTTGGTGTTTGTGGCCATTGATAACTACGGTAATCTTGGCTGGAAGGACAAGTTGTGTGAAAACAATTAATTGTCTTGATCTTATGCTTAGCTATAATGTGATGGGACAAATGTGATGGCTAATTGATGTTATCCTCGCTTAAACTAGATCCTATTGATTTAATAATCTTTCTATCTAATAAAAGAATCAATTTTATCCGACGTAACATCTTATCAGCCTAAAAATTATCAATGTGAAATACCGAAATTGCCCTTATGCTCCATTAATCCCATAAAATAGCAATCGGAAAATCTGCAACAAATCGTCAAAGGCAATCGATATAAATCGGGAAACATATCTTCTTTGAATTTGAATCGATTTCCTCACCGTCCTTTCTATCTCACATCTCTTACACTCTGAAAGAAGATGTTGTGTATTTGACAAATGGAGCTCTAACTCATACAATGTTGGTGGCAATGCAATACACATTGCATCCAAGGTTGTGGAGATCGATACCGTCGTCGCTTGTCTTCCTCTCTGCCACCAACATCGTCACTGCTTGGCCTCATTGTTGTTGCTCTTCAACCTTCATATCTCTCTCTCTCTCTCTATATATATATATATATATATATATATATATATATATATATATATATATATGTCTTTAATTTTATTTTAATCCTAAGTAATTGATAGAGCCCATTCTCATGACCCCATAAATTAATAAAGTTGTTTTGTATTTCCTTATTTTATTGTATTGTTGTATTATAAATTGATATCAATATACTCATCACCACATATGGTGATTTTCACAAACCCTATTATGATATTAACCTAATTTCTTCATGGCCTCTTCTTTCTTCTTCATCTTCGTTGATCTTCATAGCCGTCAGAACTGAGTCTGCCGACTCCCCTCTTCCTCTTGCTACAATTCTTCACATGCTTACCATTAAGCTTTCTTCTCCAACTATTTAATATGGCGACGACAGATGTTTCCCTTTCTTGGTTATCAAAAACTTACTGGTTATATTGATGGTCTATCCTTGCTCCGCCAACCACCATTTTTGCCAACAATGTCTCTTCTCCAAACCATGCATATGCTTCCTGGATCGCTGCTAATCAACGCACACTTATTCTCATACATTCATCTTTATCTGAAGAAGCTATGGCTGAGACCTTCGGTCATGATACTGCTCATGCTGTTTAGAAGGCTTTGGAAAATACGTACAATCATGACTCTGTTGAACGGGTACACACTCTTCGTGATTCTCTTCTTCATCTTCAGAAGGGATCATCTACTATTGTTGATTATAGTCGAAAATTTAAAGTTGTATTTGATCAAATCAGTGCTATTGGTCACCCCTTGAGGAATCTGATAAGATTCACGGGTTCCTCTTTAGTCTTGGTTGATTATTTGAAATGTTCTCAACCACACAATGCTTGATCCGTCACCGTCCCTCGTTTTGTGATCTTCTCTCTCAAGCCGAGAGTCATGAGTTATTTTTATCTACTATGACAAATAGCAACCCCTTCATGTTGCCTGAACTGCTGCATCTTCTAGCCGTGGTTATTCCACCGCCAATCAAGGGCACGGATCTTCCCGTCGTGGTTTTTCATGAGGTCGTGGTCGTGGTGACTCTTCTAGACGACCTTTTCACTGTCAATTATGTCGCAAATACGGTCATTATGCAAATCAGTTTCCTGATTTTCACACCTTTGCTAGTCGCTCTTCACCTCACGACGTAAATTTAGCGTAAGCCTTTCAAGCCCAGTGCAATGTTTCAAATAGCGCACCTGATTGGTTTGTAGATTTTTGTGCATCTATGGCCTTTTCTCCTTCACATTTGGATTCGGTCTCTACCTATTCTGGTAATGAAAGGGTCATTTTTGGTAATGATAAATCTTCTTCTATTTCTTATATTGGTACATCCACTATATCTCTTACTATTAATCTGCTTGATGTTCTCGTGGTACCACAACTCACCAGGAATCTTTTATCTATCAGCAAGCTTACCAATGAAATCTCGTTGATGTTTTATTTTCTAATTGTGTGTTTACAATTCAGAATTAGGTATCAAAGGAGCTTCTAGCTCAGGTCATAAGTAAAGATGGATTATATGTACTACAGCAAGGACAACGTGCTTTCTTGGCAAATGTTTCCTCCAGGCGGTTACGAGCACCTTATGAACTTTGACATAGTCGTTTAGGACATGCTTCTTTTGACACTATTTATTTTCTTAATAAAGTTGGTTGTTTAAGTGTTACTTTTGTCTTACCGAACTCACGGATTTGTGCTTCATGCCAATTATCGATACAAGGAACTGATATTAATCTATATGAGGTTGAACTTAGGTTATGTTTTTTGTTATTCATAAACTTCAATTACGTGCATATATAGATTTTTTCTTTGAATCAGATGCTTATCCATCTTTTAAGGAGATATATGGTTTTTATTCGTTAGTTTATTTAACTATACATTGGTATTAGGTATGCTCAATGTATTTCATGTTTTGTAATTTTTGGGTTTTAATAAAATTCTATTGTATTTCGTCTCTCAAGTATTTAGGGTTTTGATTTGTGTGTGTAGTTTGTTTCTTCAGGGCTATCTTGATGTTGATTTTGGGTTTTTGCTGAACACAATTATAATATGTGTTCTTGAGATCAACTGGTATTCATTTAATATCTCAAGAACATCTGACACCATCTTGCAAATGCCCCTTCTTTGATTACTCGACTTCATATCTTTAAGTTATTGTAAATTTTAACTTGTGGATCCATTTGTTCTAAGAAATGAGCAAGGAAAAGGAAGTTGCAATGATTTAATAATGGAAAATGTACTTATGGTTATTTTTCTTCTTATTCTAGAGGTTTGATATGGATTTTGCAATATATACTTACGAAGGAGCGTGAATTGTATCCGCTAGATGTTTGTAGAAATGTCTCGATGAACTTTGGAACATGCACACATATATAAAAGGTTTCCCCTTTACACTACTAGAAAATGGACTTTCATCGACGAACTTCATCCCTAGCTAATCAGCGACGAATTTCCAACGGATCAATGACATAAAGTATTTTAAGTGAACATATTTAACTTGTTAAATGGTCAAATGTGCAAAAAAAATAAAAGTTTCCTAAATGTGAAGAATTTTTATTGTTTTTTATAAATTTCTTAAGACTTTTTATAATTTATTACAATATTACAATATTTTTTTCTTATAATTTTTTAATACAATGTTTTAAACTTCGCTTATAATTTTTTTAACCTTTTTTCATACTTTCATATAACTGTTTTTTTTTAACTTTAAACACTACATACTCCCTAAACTACTCCTTTTGTCTCTAATACACTTGAACTCTCAAACTTTGGCTGATGGACATCTTTCCACAAACACATGATACCATTAGGCTACAAGTCATTTGGTTCATACAGCTTCTATTAAACCAATTATTTTCTAAATGTTTTAAACTTTTCTTACAAGTTTGTAATTTTTTTACGTTCTAATACATGTTTTTTTTTATAATTTTCATATAACTTTTTCTAAACTTTTTTTTACAACTTTTTTAAAATGTTTCAAAACTTTTGTATAACCATTTAATACTTTTATCACATTTTAAAATACTTTCGTTAAATACAAGTTTATAACGTTATATTAAAAAGTTTATAAAATTCTAATTAAAAAGTATAAAAAAAGTTGTAATAATTTTAAATCGTTTACAATATAAATATATATTTTTTTTTATTTTCTACGTAATATTTTCTTTTATTTTTTTAAAAGGTCCTACATACTTATTGTTATATATTTAATTTATTAACTTTATTGTTAGGTACTATTTACTTTAAAAATATTTCATATCCTTAGAAACAAAAGGAAAAAAATATAAGATGCTATATAAAGTATTTCAATATATATATATATATATATATATATATATATATATATATATATATTAATTAATTAAAAAGAAAAGCTTAGAATTGATCAATCATTAACTAATATTTATGATAGTAAATTTTTGCTAAAAATAAATTAGTAGGAAATTGTTTTGTCAAATCAAAAGGCTATAAATGAGATAAATAATCAATTATTATGAATGCTTTAAAAATAATTTTTGAAAAAAAATAATAAAAACAAATATGAAAAATAAAATCTCTATTAAAAGTGAGAAAAATAACTTATCAGAGTTATTAACTTTTCGGTTTGTTCATATTTAGGTACTTTATGTTTTTTAATACATTTGACCATTCAATTTGTTAAATATGTTCATATGTTATCATTGTCACTTGAGATAGCCGGTGAAAATGATAATATATGAACATATTTAACAA